AAAAGATAACATTCCCGAGTCAAGTCAAGAAAATGCTCCCAATTCAACTAGAGAGAAAATTTTAAAGCATAAAAGTCTTCCACTTGTTCGTAATAATACTGGTAGTTTTGTTAAAACAGGGCACAATACAATAAAGAAAATATCTCTTTAAGTGAAGCAAACCAAATCGTTAAACGTAGTACTAAAGTCACTAAACGAACACGGGCCTCCTATTCTATTACACAAAAATTAGCAGTAGTTGATTATGCAGTACAGCATGGAAGAAATATGGCAGCAGTTAATTTTAACCTTGATGCCAGTATGGTTGGACGCTGAATAAAAGCAAGCTCAAATTGGATAGCAGAAACCAATAACAAAAGCAAGCGAATTGGTTCTGGTCAAAGAGCTTTTTACCCTGAGGCTAAAAAACGCTTATATACGTGGATAATCGAACAAAGAAAGCAGGCATTAGCTGTAACTTACGAGATTATGCAAAACCGAATGATGGAGATTTTGCAACAACCAGATATGGTAGCTCTTTATGATGATTCTGCAAAGATATTCAAAATGTCACATCGTTGGACAGTCACATTTATGAAAAGAAATAAATTAGCACTGCGATGACGTACAAGAATTTCACAAAAACTTCCTGAACAAACTCAGGAGTTGTTGGAAAAATTTTATGAACATATTACTCGACTTAAAAGCCTAAAGTTTTTTGAATTAGGCAATATCCTTAATATGGACGAAACACCCGTTTTGTTTGATATGGCTGGTAACTTTACTGTCAATCTGAAAAGTAAAAAAACAGTTCATATTCGTGCTACGGGTAATGACAAAAATAGATTTACGGTTGTTTTAACATGTGCTGCAGGCATGTTTTTATTTATTTATTCATTTTCATCTAGTATAATGTTCCATTTACTAATTCTGTTATATATTTATTATTGTAGATGGAACAAAACTCCCCCCGATTTGCATTTTTAAGGGAAAGCGATTAACACATAAAGAGCAAAAATGAATCTCAGCTGGCATCGTAGTTTGGTTTCAAACCAATGGTTGGATGGATACCAAATTAATGATAAAATATGTGAACTATCTTCACGAATTAAGACTAAAAAATGGAACTAGAAAAAAACTGACAATGCTAGTGTATAATTCTTTTAAGGGCCATTTAGATGATTCAGTTAAAAGTAAGTTTGGTGAGTGCGGTTTTGATCTGGCTGTAATTCCCGCAGGCTTAACTTGCATATGTCAATCGCTTGACATTGCTATCAACAAACCGTTCAAAGATCACTTGCGCAAAGAATGGCATAATTGGATGGGAAAAGGTGGTGCTGGAAATACTGCTGCAGGAAATCTTCGCCGTGCTCGAATAGGTGATATATGCACATGGGTTAAAAATTCTTGGGAAAAACTTCCTAATGAAATAATTGTAGAATCTTTTAAAACTTGCAAAATTTCCAATAATTCAAATAAATCGAATTCTGATTTAGAAGTTATTGATCT